TTAAATATAAGCTTCAAAGACCGGCCTTTAGCAAAACAAAATAAAATCAGTTTACACTTTACACAAACAATTAGAACCTACAACGGGTGTTCACTTCAACAGACAGACAGTCAGACCAAGAGAACTTGTGATTCGAGTTGAAAAATTCTAGATTCCTTACTGCTTCACTTTGGTCTAGTCATTACCTGTATTCCCTTAAGAGCATCAATTCCACAGAGAACCAACTTTAACTTGTTCGGATTGAACTACAATGAAGAACAGATAACTTGTTCGGATTGAACTACAATGAAGAACAGAACATATTTACCTTGGCAGGGTCGCCTGCAGTTCGACGGAGCCTCTCAGAGAGTCGAATATATCCAAACGACCAGAAAACGGAGACAAATGCAGCAGCAATCCCACTTGCGGTTGCATAGAAGGTAGCAGGTGAAGTGGGTTTCCCAGTTACAACAACGGAGAAGGCTAGAATCACAGCAGCCACCACAGTCGACACAAGCTGCCCCCAGAAACCAATACTCCCTAGCCTCTTGAAGTACCTTGAAGTCTTCTCCAACCTCTTTGCAACCTGTGAAAGCAACCACTCAATACTCAATTACTGCAAACAGATTCTTCACACTAAACCCTTTAATTTCAGTTCTCAAAACTTGAAAACCTCAGTGGATCCAAATTGTTATCCACTTCGTAAAATCAAAAAGCTAATTCAGTGGAATCTGTAAATTCCAACAGAAATGGCACCAAATTGCTTCGCAATCTTTTCGTTTCTCATCACTTCCAACATTATCATTTCGATTAGATATATCATTTCTCACTCTACATTCAATTCAGCTATAGCTTGTGTCAAAATCAAGATGGAAACTAAGATTCAAGGTGGAAAATCCAAAGCCGAAGAGAAGGAGAGAACCTGAGCGAGCTTTGCCTTGTCGACCTCAATATCACCGGAAACGAAACCAGGAGACGCCGGAGAAGAAAAATCCACCGTAGATTGTGCGGAACTAGGTTTAGATCCTCCGATTTGAAAACCATAGACAGGCGAAGACGATGGCGATCGGTGTGAGGAGATAGTGGCTCTCTTCTTCGACGAAATGAGCGGGTTTGGAGCCAAGACAAGTGGATTAAGAAACGGCAAGAAGCAATTAGAGAGGCGTTGCTGAAAACCTTGCCGCATCGAGACGGCGGATGTGCCGGTGAAACTCGCCGGCGGCAAGAGTAGTGACTGCATTTTTACCGGAGACGTTAAGAGTTAAAAGTTGGAAAATCCGTGCTTTTAGGCTTCTTTAGTCTATTTATCTTGTTGCAATGGGCTTTTGCTACCTAACGGCCCTTGAGAGGATATTTTCCCTTTCGCTTTTTATTTGCCTTTGGTCCCAGAGAATAAATTTTTGGATTCTTGTTTTTTTTTCTTTTTCTATAAAGCATACCTTTTTTTATAACCAAATATTTGAAAATTGATGAAGTGTTTGTAATAAAGTAATAAACTATACTTCATGCATTTAAACACCATCAAACATACATAGATTTCTCTCTTTCAATACTTTGATAGAAGGATACTACAATCGAAAACAGCACCATACAAAAGAAATGAAATACCCTATACTCAAA